GAATGCATATTTAAGCTAACTTTTATAGCAAAAAAATAGGTATCAATTATTACACTTCGGTTGGAAACGTACAAAGGTGGCAAATGTACTAAAAGTGTACTAGAACGGTAACACTATTCGAAAGATGTCTATGAGAACAACAACACGGCGATGGACTTTTCTGATTTGCTGAAAAATGAAGCTTGTCATCCAGTGACCAATTAGAAAACATACCGTGGTGCAGAATAAGAAATTGAAGGCGAACAACAAACATCTGACAAATTATATGGTCATATGAAACATCTAATAACATTATTCCATCAGGTTGACTGCTACTCAATTGATATAGGTACTCGTTGATATAGTCTTATATCCCAATATGGGGAAATTGGGCTCCATAGTCAGAATAAACAGGATTCTTGACTATGAACGAAGCCTATTCGCCCTGAAAGTTGAAGTCTTCACCAAAATTAACGAAACCCTTCCCGTAACAAGTTGTACGCGATACTAGTTGGAACGTTTTTTTCCTAAAATCTAATATATGAATCCGACTTGTGCCATTTGACTCCAGCGTCATCTAGGAGAGACGAATCAAATTCAAGGTGTGACTCTTTTACACATAAAAATATACCTCATTTTCAATCATTCTATATGAAAAACAGGTTTTTTATATTTTTCGAGTTATGATAGTCTTCTTCTCAACCAGCGATACACTCTCTGAAGCCATATTGTAATTCTGACAAAAGCTGGTGTTCTTCAAGAAACGTATTCAATTTCTCGAAAATTTTTGCAAGACTCGTTATTAAAGAGATTGGTCTATAGTTTGCTTCTTCGGTTTTTTGTCCACTATTATATATGGGCGTTATTACTGCCATCTTGAGAGCTGAACGAAAGTACCCTTTCTCTAATAATGATATATTGATAAGATAGTTGAGTGGCTTCGAAATATAATCAGACGATAATTTTAGAGTTCCTGCTTTCAGACCATCAGTACCAGGCGCCATTTTATTCTTAAGTTGTGAGATGATATACTTCAGCTCATTTTCAGTTGCAGGCTCGAGAAATATGGAGTGATTGTATTTATTAATTTTTTCTGAATAATCCATATTCTTATCCATGATTTGTGCCAGGTCAGTATCGATAGAAACGAAATAGATGTTGAAACTATTTGCTATCTCAATCAGATCGCTTGTGAGTTCGTCGGTTTTCGATTTTATCAAATTTATAGGTGTAGATTCTTGATTGGTTGATATTTCATTGATAGTTTGCCATGACTTTTTGGAATTATTACTTCTAGTTTCAATGAGTTCTCTTTAGTATGTTTCTTCCACTTTCATGATTAATAATTCATTTAGTATATTTGTATTGGTCAAGTATTCTTCCTGTAGAGCTGTATTATTTGCATCTTTCTTCAGCTTACGATACATGGCGTTTTTTTTGTTCATCACAGAATTGATCATGCCTCTAGTTATCCACGACTTTCTCTTTCTGTTTTCGTTGATTATTTTAGTATAGCTCGTGAATTCTCCCATTTTCACTTTCAGAATATCAATAAACATATTTGTTCCAAGTTCAGGATCGTTACAATATGAGATGCCACTCCAGTCAGTACTCTCCATTTCAACTTTGAGCATTTTCTCATCTATATTCTTGTGATACTGGACATTTTTCGAAACTTTTTCTCAAATGGTATCACAATATTGCGCCAAAGTCGTGTAATGGTCTGTAACGGATGTTTCTGAAGTGATTGGTAGGATTGTGTCATATATATTTTTTGTTTTGATGAAGATGTGATCCAAACATGTCTGAGCATTTTTGTTTACTCTTGTTGGTATGTTTATTGCGGATATATACCCGTATTCGCTCATGGTGTCCAGATAAATACCAGTTTCTCGAAAATTTACTAGCAAGTCAATATTCATGTCTCCGATTATTGAGTTATAATCAGAATGCTCATTATCACGTTTCAAAATAGTATCAAACTCATTGACAAAAGGTTCAATTTCTGTAGCTGGTGACATATAGAGAGCATTAGTGATAAAGACAGTGTTGTGACATTTATTTTGACTCTTAGTAGTAGACTCTTATTGAGTTCGATGGTCGTGTGTGAGTCGTAATATTCTGACTTCACAAACATTATGACACCATCGTTTTGGTTCAATTCTCCAGAATTATATAATATTGTGTTGCCTGGAATATTAAAAGTTGTGGCGTCGTGAATTATGCAAGTTTCAGTGAAAACTATACAATCGCATGACGAATCCAGCTCATCAAGAAGAATTGAGAGTTCATTGAAATTTTTCAATAGGCTACGAATGTTATTGTGTATTATTTTGAAGTTGGCAGTTCGTTTATTGATTTCAAGGCTTTTTTCACCTCTGTATTACTACTTGAAGAGAAGTATCTGGTTTGGTTGTAAAAAAGTCTCGTATGTATGGATCCATTCCTCTCTCTTGATAATAGTACACGTGCTTATGTTGAATGTTTAATATAATTCTTGGTAGCAATTCGAAATCTAGTTTTAAATAGAAATACAGGTCGGATATTATGTTATCATTGTTTAGTAGAGTTTGTTCGTGCTCTTGTTTAACGCGATGGTTCTTGGTTCTTCTTGTTTCTTTCGTTTCCTAGTCCTAGTATCTCCTGGGGATCTGCTTTTCTTCTTCCTGTGCCAGTACTGTTGCTGGATTGTTGATTTTCTAACCAATCTTCCCCTTCTGATTTTTCGTTTTTCTTCTCTAGCAACTCCTTGTTGGTGTAACCTACACTATTCATAAATAGTTTCCTGCCCTTTATGTGTGCTCTTTGGTTGTTTTCTGTCTCCTTTCTCATTCGTTGAATGAGCAATTGTCTTTCTTGTCTGTCTTCCAGTCCAAGGTCCTCGGCTATCACTATGGATGTATTTCTGAGAAGATGACACTCTTTCAATACTTGTTTTTCTGTATGAAGAGAAATAAATCTTACAGCTATGACTTTTGGTTTCTCCTGGCTCTGTGGAATGAGGTAGGCGATGTCTATCTCGCTTTTTTCGATAGTGAGCTGTAGGTGGGTTTGGAAAAGGTTTCCGGTGAATTTCAGTAGGTCTTCCTGGTTATTTTGTGTATCGAAGATTGCTTTATTATTTTTTTCGATTGCTCGTTCTAGGCTTCTATTTTTTTGTTTCAATATTCCAACTTCTGTCTCTGTTCCTTTCACCTCTAGAGATTCTTCCAATAGGAGATTTTTCAGTTCTGCAGTTTTTTCTGTAACTTCACGGTTTATTTGGAGTGTTATATCTTCCGTTTGTTTCTTGTTTCCTTGAATCAATTTGCGTAGCTCTTCAAACAATACAGTGTTAGCATCCATGGTGTGATTTATGGTGGATTTATTTTTGCATGGAGCACCTGTACTATTCATTCACTCTAATCTTTCACTTCGAGTCAAGGTTTTCAGATCGTTTTTATCACTGACATTTCACCGATGTTCTAAATCCGTGGTATTGTAGTCAAGCGTAATATGCAATCTCTGATTGCATTTATCACCTACTTCCATGCAATATTTTCAGAATTCGTTCTGACTCACATGTATATGGCTGTTTCTGCTTAGCACTGGAAAAACTTCTTATCGATTTATGACCGACTGAGCCACAGAATATGTCGATTGGTAACGAAGCGTTCAAAACACGTGTATATACTTTTTTATCACTATCATCGATGAATATTTTTGAGGAAAAATTAAAACAGCATCTGAGCAACCAATGAAAAGTATTCTATATTCAATGTTTATGTGATCTCTTTCGACATGTATGGTATTGTTTTTCTGTTTTATTCTATATGTATTGTGACTTTCAAATATAAACTGTATAACGTGATTTCTCATCTATGTATGTATTTCACAGATAAAATGTATATATATCGTTCATCCGGAAGAAGACAGTTACAACTCAAAGTTTCACATTAATGAGTTTTTTTTCAGAATGAGCTACAGATCTTGAATACTTCTATGAGAAAAATTATAACATGTGAGCTTCATTCAGTGGCCGAGAGATGGCGACATGTATCTCTCTAGAATGATAAAATTTTCGGACATATCAATTGGGAAGACCGTGCCATCTGACTTTGCAAAATCAGATTTGCGAAGTTGCGTCCTATATGGAAACCATCCTTCTCTCCAATGAAGTTTAAACTTGAAATGTAACACTATTCCTCCAAAACTATCATCACACATGATTCAATTCAATTCGAAGGAGTGCATTATTTTCAGTTGTATCTATTTTCGACATATTCCCATACTACAATATTGTTTAAGGTTACATTTTTTCAGAGATGTATCTGTTTCTTCGATCATTATAATAAATGAGAGGTAATGTGTTGTATCTCAAGATGTAGCTGTATTCGCTCGAACTATTGAGTGGGATATCAGTATATTCGAAAAATCTGGTTACATTTTTCCTAGAGATCAGTATGCAAGCATCAAACGAACCATCAAAAAAACTGGTACCCCATACACAGTACATAAATTATGCCATTATTACATCTAGAAATGGCAGCTGATTCATATGTGAACATACCAAGAAAGTTGTAAATTGTCCCGATAAAAGAGTTCTCAAATTGGACCAAGAAAATCGAAGTTTTGCATTTCATAAGACTTCATACGACCAGCAAGGGTTTGATGAAGCTCTGATCTCGAATTAGAATAGAACAAGACATCTTGGATATGAATCTCAAGGCCGCGTATTCGAAAAAACCTGGTATTACAAAAGCGAAAAAAGATGGTTTATTTCCATGATTGAAAAATAGAAATGTATGTCAACATTTTACAATTTCCATGAAAATCTGATAGAATACAATGTGTTCAGTTTCACTGATGAGTTTTGATATTTTCCATTTCATCATTGAAATTATAAAGAATGTAGATTCGTTTAATAATGGAATATCAAGTTTCGAGCCCTTTTTATAGTCAAGATTCCATTTTGTAACATTGACAATCATGAGGGTATGGTGAAAGTTCTGGATTCAAGAATGATACATCAGTTAATTTTCCTACAGTTTCTCATTATCGAGAGCTAATACTATGCCGACCTTCAAAGGATTGATTAATGATAAATTGTACGAAAAACAGTCAGAATCGACCATACGATTGAGATGATGAGGTCAATTGAAACTTCAACCAATATCAAAATGCTTTTTCTAAAGAAATATAATTTTTGAGTTCTGACTCTTTTCTTCCGGATGAACGATATATATATATATATATATATATATATATATATATATATATATATATGTAGTAGAGCAGTTATGCAATGATGATCAGGACGGAAACCAGATTGAGTGGAAGGAAAAATGTTATTCGACTTGAAATAAACCCTCAGTTGGATTTCAATAATTTTCTTCATCAGTTTGGACAGTCCTGATAGTATACTTATAGGTCCTAGAACATTTAATACCTGTGTTGAGAATTATTTACATCAAAAATTTGTTTCAACAGGTGAAAAATATACCACTCAACAATATGCTATTGATAATATCACCGGGGTATGGTGAGCTATATGGTGACAGTGGTTTTATCAAACTAATTGAAAGACCATCTGATCCAGGTGAGTTTTTTTTATTCAGGACAAGATTTCAACAACTCCCCCTTTAGAAACAAGAGCACAAGAGTTCTGTTGAGCAAAAATAGTTATTTATTATACAAGGGAAAAAAGTGGTAGATTTTAACTCCAGGTTGTGTTGTCTCCCGACGCGTAGCGGAGGGAGACAAAAAACCGTGAGCTAAAATCTAATATTTTTCCCGTGTATAATACACTATTTTTTTCTGTGACAGAAGAAAGGATGAATCAATATTGAGAAAATGCTACATTATTTTGAAATCTGAAAATTATCGACGAGAAATTTTAAGTTTTTAACAGTAGGGACACCTGCGTTCTATAGGCATCTTTATCATTCTTTTGAAGTAATCAAATATTTGATGTCACTTCTGTCAGTCTAATTCTGTGATTTAATTTCAAAAAATTGCGAATTTAGTGGTTGTTTAGTAATATACGTAACCGCGAAGTCGAATCGAAGATAAGGACTTGCAGTTCTTTCTCGGAGACGGTATTATTGACTCATTTTTCGGAACTATAGCACAACAAAAGCCATCAACAGTGTATATATATGTGATATATATCCGGGAAAAAAGTATTCACTTTTTGCCCACGGGAAAAAAGTAATTTATGAAAAGTGACATTTTATAACCTGCCAACAGAGATGAAATGCCAAACTTTTTTCCCGTCACAGAAAAAAATTGTTTATTGCTTCGGAATGTTGTAGTAACTTGGGTACTTGCTTCTTGTCTCAATTCATCATATTGAGTGTTTTCGACTCTCTCCACAGTAGTTAAGAATTTTTGTTATGAGAAATTAAGTTTCCATTTTTTTTTATAGATATCATCTGATTGTTTTGGTTGCGTAAATTTCTGTAGTTATTTGAATTTGCTGGCAAGTGATTTCATCCAAATTAAGATTTACGTTCATTCCGTTCAGACATCTGACCTTTGAGTTCATCATCCAGCCAAGAAACCCTATTTTCTTGTTATCTCGACATTCTTCAATACTACATATTAATTAAATGATTGCAGTCGTTGTTTATAAAAAATAGACAACTTGTCGTCAATGCTATTCGTGAAGAATATTTGTTGAAAAGGAAGGCTATTGAAATCTGAATCGAATTGATCGATATGAAAAGTTTTGGGACTTCTCAATCTACATCATTTAGGTTCAGACTTCGGTTTGGTGCAGTCAAGTTCACAAGAAATGATTTCGTGATCAGAAAGTTCAATTCTACCCAAAGAGGTCGGGATAATCAGATTCAGATGATCACCTATAATTAGATCAATCAGTGACTTTTCTGTGGTTCAAATTTGAGTTGCATATTTCATCATTTGATGCATATGTAGACTCCAACATTGACGAGATATACTGAGTCATTGGAGAATCAGAATCTAACATATCAATGTTCATACACAAAAAGTTTTTCTTCGTGTAGCATACAAATCGGAAACGTTCCTTCCAATTCACCAACAAATGTTTCATAATTCATATGTCGTGGTTAATGAGTAACAGCGCAAGAAACTCCATTGAGTGAGAGGGATATCCACAATTGTTCAATATTCGAGGAAACGTTTGGTACTCTGTATTTGAGCATATTGAAAATATATAATGCTACACCACCTTCTCTAGGATATCTTTCATGTCTTGAAACATTTTATCTCATTCAAATATTTTCAACTCACCTGAACCCTTGCTTCCGACAAGCTTATCCGAAGAGCAACCTCTTCCCTCAAGAACACATCTGGGTAATGCGTCTTTTGAAAGAGAGTTTCGAGTTCTTGTAGCTGTTGTGGACTGAAAGTAGTTCGATTTCTCCTTTGCCGTCTTCTTCCGAACATGTATTCAGTGAGCAAGTCTCCAGGCAGAGAGGGTAAGTATGGTCCAGCCATTTTGGTAAAAGAGTTCATGCAGTTTGTAGATTCTCTTGAAACAATGTCCTATTCCCCGATGACTGCTGTAATGAATTATTTTGTTGAAAATATAGTCAAGTACATTTTCAAGATCACTTGGGTTGATCGATCGATCAACGTACAAGCACTTACTGGAAAACGAAAATTTTTGTCAATGAACTAATAATATTGAAATCATGAATGGTGCCTAGAGGAAGAATGTATTAGATAACAGAATGAAAATTGAACGCGAGGTGAAAAAACAGTAACTGAAGGCTTTGTATAAACTTCACTTTCAAGCTATTCAGCATTGTTAGTGTGATGTTCCCATCATGTTTGAATTTCTAGTTTCCATATATAATTGATCGTGATTGCATTCATTGCTCGTACTTGCTTCGAACTATTCAGTAATGAAATAATTAAGATAAGATCGTGATGACATATAATCGATAAGTCAAAATATTCACATAAGGAATAATTATTGAAATCATACGGAGTTTGAGTTCGAAAAACGAGCAATTTTCAGCATCGTCGTTGTCTGAGTTTGCAGGTTGAGGAATATCTATGGCTAGGGACGAATCACTTTGTACAAACATTCATACGGAAACATGTTGTAAAGCCCTCCATCCGAGCAAAAACGAAATCGCAGGTCTTTCTTCTTTGATGTATGTTCGAGTTTGATTGATATTCCACTCGTCTGACTCAATCACCACTGAATAAGACAACGACTCCATATCATTTCATGTAGTAGAATCACAATGTACTAGACTCAATCCATATTCAAAGAAATGTCATATCTTGACTGACAAACACGAAAACTGAATACTGACAATTCACGCCAAGCAGACCTGACATGCATAATATACAATAGCAATTCAAAAAATATTTTGTTCACAAGCTTCCCCCTCCATTATTATTCAAGATACGAAAAAAAGTCCACATACCAACCTGACCCAAAATTAATGATCTTTTTATTTCCGTTATCAAAAAAGTACCTCACCGAGCGATTCTCTGAGATAATTTGAATTTCTTTTTTTATCATGGTAACTTTGCTCCCTACCGGCCATTTGAGAAACTTGAAAATATTTCAAATCAATTTCTCTTTGCCAATTTCATCAATAGATATTTTTCCCGAAGCTGTAAAGTTGATGGCTTCGGTAATATCGTATCTCGCCGACCTCAATGGGACACTCTGTATACTAGGTATAACAATCTCTCACACTATTGGGAATTCGGTGGTCGACGTGGACGCTGTAGACGATTGCCACGGTGTCTGTTTCAGAAGCGACGACATCTGTTGGCGTTACAGGCGGTGTCATCAGTGGCACAATCTCTGGTGGTCAAACTTCCTCATCTGGAGCCACTTTGCCAGCTGAAGTGACTTTTTCACTTTGTTGAATTATTTCGTCATGCATGAATAACAGTCACGGTCGGATTATGTGTCGAAGAATATTCCTGCGAGGAGTTCATCACTGATAGAGTATGAGCTGGAGAGTATACTTCTATTCGACTTGGTGAGGAAATACGACGTGTTACCTACAATTAACGAAGCTGGTTGATATGCCGTTTTAGTGCATAACCATCATCCAACTTAACTCTGTAGTGTAGTTTTCCTAATGTTTCTGAAAGATCTCCTGGCTTCCATGCCACTTCCCTGCTGTTGAACATCTTCACGAGACCTCTATCTTCCACACTAAATGATCTCAAGCAGAAGTGCAACAAAGAACTTGATGCTTCCTTCGAGTTTGGAGGCTCGAGCGGCTTGAGCAGATCTAATTTCGTGCGAATTTGTCTACCTAGATTAAGCTCAGCAGGTGTCTCATCAAAACGTGTAGGAGTAGCGGAATGAAATGTCACGAATTTCTGATTGCATTAATTCATTTCCGGATTCCATGGCATCCAATTTTCGATTCAGAAATTGAACGTAACACTCAGCTTGATCATTCGTTTGAGGATGCCTTGGTGCAATAAGACGGCAATCAATACTTTTTGGCTCACAGAATTTGATGACTTCGAAGCTGATAAGATTTGTGGAATAGTCGGACACAATTCTTTAGGCAGACCGTGGACACTGAGAATGTCTTTCAGGAATTCAATTGTAGGAGCTGATGACGATGCAGTTTTTGTTAGTCTGATCTCCGGCCATTTCGATTCAGCGTCAATTAGAATGAAAATGTAATCACCATCCCCAGAGTCTGCATAATCAACATGAACACGTTGAGACTTCGAGTTCGGTTCTTCTCACCGGTGTGATGGTACAGCAGGTAGAGCACAAACAGTCAGAGCACAAGCATTACATCTCTCCATGAATGATCCAATGTCACGATCAATGTTTCTCCAGTTACAATTCCTTCGAAACAGACTTTCCATTTTTGACGTCTTGACATGGGTAGCATGAAGCTCTGACAATACTGAGGCTTGAAGAGTGTCAGGGATCGCAACCCAGTTCCCTTCAAATATCACACAAAGCTGAATAACAGAAAGCAAAATTCTAGGTCGATTGATGAGTTCGGGAGATCGCTTGAGGAATCGATGGTTGATCTTACATCAACACAAGCCGATGGCAATGAGCAAAATGCAAATTTTTCACGGCCTGTTAATGAAGAGATCGCAATTAATACCTTTGCGAATGTGCTTATTATTCAGAATTCAGGAACAATTTGAGAGTACGAAACTATCAGAGTCTGAATGATGCAATAAGAGGTGCAAAAGATGGGGAAATATCGTTAGGGTCACCTAGAGAAATGTTGTGGTTGAGTACAAATGATAGTTTTGCACATAGAGTTCCAAATAGGGAAAATTTGAGAAGTTATTCAAGAGGTTCGTTTTGAAATTTTGATAGGAATAATAGTAATTCTTTCAATAATTCCAGTAATTATAAACAGAATCTACAAAATACGAATTCACTTAGGAACTCTCCTGATGCAAGATTTCACAAAAACTGGAGAGGTAATCGTGTGAGTCGAAATGATGGCCAACGCGGGTACTTCATGCAAAATAATGATTCTAGAATCCAGAACATGAATTCCAATACGAGCAGCAATAACTGGAACTCCAACTCAGTTCAGTTGTTTTTTCGAGACTAACCATAGTAATCCACAATTGATGAAATCAAATGGTTTTAATTCCATTTCAGTAAATTATGAAGGAAATGATCTCAAATTTTCATCAGATACAGATGCGACTGTTAGTGTTATTTTCGAAAAACATGTGAATAAACATCAAAACATTGATTATTCAGAAACAATCAAAATGAATGGCATCTCTGGGTCAATAACTTCGCAAGGCTCAGCAAACATTCAATTCACAGTAAATAGTAGTGTAAATATGTGTCATGGATTTTTTATGATAAGGGAGTTTAAAAATGATCTTCATGGTGTTATTGGGTTAGATTCTTTTCATAAATATAATGCAACAATAGACTTCGGAAAATTCATGTTTTCATTTCATTATGGTGAGAATAGAATTACTGTCCCTATGCATGTTAAACGAGAAATATTCACTCTGATTCAGAAACGAACAGAGATAATGAAATATTTTCATGTCGACCATCACACTGATTATGTGATTCTTGCGGATGAAACAGGAGACGGTATTTCCATTGCGTGGTTAATAGTTACTCCGATTAGATTTCTGAATGTGCAAGAACGGGACGACACCTCGAAAAATTCTAAACCAAAAATCGATTTTCCCAAAAATTATGGAGTTTGTAACTTTGGACCGAACGATAATAAATCAGTTAGCAGAATAAAATAAATTATAGAATAATTGGATTCAAAGGAGTCAAAAGAGAATGGAAACCTCGCTTCGCAAAGAATAGGTGCAAAATACTCTGATGTTCTTCTTCTAGACACTGATCCATCAACAACAACTAACATATATAAACAAAAAATTGATTTAACGCCAAATGCATCCTCCGTGTATATGAAACCTACCATTTTCACAAAAACAAGGAACAACAAGGAGGAAGCTAAATCTGAATGGTCATCTCCTATATTATTAGTTCCAAGAAGATTTCATGACAATGGTGATAAGGAATTCAGATCAGTAATCGATTACAGGGGTTGTAATCTGAAGGATGAAGAGTGGTCTCTGCCTTGTATTACATATATTCTAGATTCCTTGTCTGGCGCTACTCATCTCTCACACTTAAATTTGTCGCAAAGATATTATCAACTAGAATCAGATGAATCCAATTGGCCATGTACAGCTTCAACAGTTGATAGTAGGTGACAGTATCAAATGACGCGGCTTCCAATGGGGTTTAAAATCAGCTCAAATGCATTTTCTAGCGCAATGACAATTGCAATGTCGGGACTTAATTATAAAAGCTGTTCTATTTATTTGGATGATCTTATTGTTCTTGGTGAAAATTTAACAGAACATGATAAGAATTTGATGAAAGTTTCACAGCGTCTGACAAAAGTAAATCTGAAATTGAATCCAAATAAATGTAAATTCATGGAGAAAGAACTTATATACTTAGGACACGTAGTATCTACTGAAGGCCTTTTACCTGATCCCGGAAAGATTCTGTACCAAAAAGTGCAGATGAAACGAGAAGATTTGTTGCATTTGCTTACTATTACAGGCAATATATTGGAAACTTTGCTGAAATTGCAATACCACTAGATTATTTGTCAAGGAAAAATGTTGAATTCAATTGGACATCTGAATGCCAACTGGCATTTTGATACATTAAAAACAGTGTTAATCAATCCTATTGTATTGCAATATCCAAATTTTCCTCCAGAAAACACGTTTATTCTGGAGATTGATGCATCTGGTCATAGTGTAGGATCAGTTCTTCCAAATATTGATGATAGACCTATAGCATTTGCGAGCAGAGCATTGAATAAAGCTGAAAAACAATATTCCACAATTGAAAAGGAGCTTTTGGCAATTGTTCTTGGTATAAAACATTTTTCTTGATATTTGTACGGTAGAAAATTCATTATATATACAGACCATCGACCGTTTTTTGGCATGGCGAACCCTTCTAGTAGACTATCGAAATTTAGGTTGCTAATAGAAGAATTCAATCCTGATATAATTTATATAAAAGGCAA